CTACGAGCCCCCCTTGTAGCCGGGAGTTCTTGGGTCCGAACCTCAGTGTAGTGGGTGCGTAGTGATGATGAGTCTGTAAATAGGTTGACGAGACAGCTGTCCGATATTCCGTGTTGATTTTTGAATGGTTCTCTAACTGATGCCAGTTCATCATGATACCCTCGAACCAGAATATTATTGTGAAAGTCGTTTCTACAAGATTTCTCAAAGAACTACAGCGATCGCTACACTTAAATCGACTTATCCCAAACGCTAGGATACCCTCTACTCCATTTCAAATTTGTCAACCAATTTACACGCCTTTGATGAAATAAAAATTGTTCATTATTCCTATATGCTAAATAAGTGAAAATATCAAAAAACAGCTAAAGCCAAACGGCAATAGACCTATCTTAGAACTATCCACTGATACATAAGCAATATCTCATTCTAGAGTGATTTGGGGACCTAAGATTTTGAGACGCACATGGTATCGATTATCTACTGAAGTGATAATTAATGATTCATAGTTTCTGAGTAGTGCTATTTTGAGACAATTAAATTTTGAAATTGTATAATAGTTTAGGAACATAATGATAATAAAAAATATCATCTTTAATATGAATGTCTTGTGCGCCCAAGCCAGTCACAGCTGTGGTATTTATTTTAAAACGGTTAATAATGTTTTATTCTATCATAAATTTCACTTCTCAATTATTCTTATTGTCTGTCTGATTTTCTGACTTCTTCCATATACATGAAGCTCTTGATCTTCAAGAGTTGGTTTGTAATGATTTGATTTGTTTGCGAGTCTGACCACAGACTGATATCAAATAAAGAACCATTGGGAGCCAGGGATTACTGGACAGCTGTTTGGAGCTCATTGACAGTTCGCACCCACCCCAATTTGGTTCGAATCCAAGACCTTGCCTGGTCCTCGCCTTGGTCCTGAATTAGAACCCAAGTGTGGTTGGTGCGTACTGTCAATGAGTCCCGAACTAGAATGAAACAGCTGTCCAGTACTCCCTAGTTCCCATTGGTTCTTTATTCGATGTCGGTCTGTAGTCAAACTCGAAAAATGAACCTTTTACTTAATTTTACAAATTTTGATGAATTTACTCCGAAGACTAATAATAAGATGTAGCCACTTTTCACTTAGTCTACACAACCCTGGAATAACGAAATAGTTTCACATATTTAGGCATCTAAATACATTTTAGTTTTTCTTTGCTGAGCTTTTTTCTCTACTCTGTCTTAATGGGTGTTTCCCACGATAATTCAATTTCTGGCCTATTCTGGTAACCATTCTATGAATACTCTACTTTTTAACATCTTAAAAGCTTCGTTTAGTTTTATGTTAATTTTCATCACCTTCTACATTGATACAACCTACCATGTCAAAAAGTACTTTCTTCTTACAATTGATATAGGAATAGAACTTGTGCACTGTGGTAGAGTATAATTCCATTATGGGTAAAAGTTTTATTTTGATAAAGTCTCACAGTAAATATTACTGTATAACACTGTGAGACTTTATCAGAATAAATTTTATCTATAATGAAATTACTTTCTTGTTAGTTTAATGAAAGCATTTACATGTATTATCATTTAAAGTTTCAAATTCACTCTTCACAATGTTGGAATTTGAAGGGAAATAAATAAACTTAATTTCGTTACAACTATAATGTATTCATTATCCGGGTTCGGAGTTCTGTGAAAGTTAATGATGAATTACAGAGGTGATGAACATTCCTGGCCAACATCAACAGCAACAACAACAACAACAGACAACAATCAGCCTGCATAAATGGGAGGAACCTGAAAGAAACAACCTCCTTTACCTACCTACCTGGGAAGCATCGTTTCAACTACAGGTGGACGGAACTGACGAGGATATCAAAGCCAGAATCAGCAAAGCAAGACAAGCTTTCATTACTCTCAAGTCTGTGTGAAGGTCAACAGCACTCATCATCAAAAATAACATCCGGATTTTCAACTCCAGTGTGAAGTCAGTCAGTGCTACTCGCCGCTATACGGATCGGAGACTTGGCGCGTCATAAAGAGCATCTCAAACAGACTACAGACCTTCATTAACAGCTGTCTTCGCTCAATACTCAAGATCAGATGGCCGGCCAGAAAAGATCAGCAACAGGGATCTCTGTCAATGGGGAACCAACCAGGAACCGATTGTGCAACAGATAGGCAGGAAGAAATGGAGGTGGATTGGCCATACCCTGAGGAAACCATCAAGTGACATCACTAGACAAGCCACTGCTCGAGTGGAACCCGAAAGGGACGTCACGAGTTGGTTGTCAGCGCAAGGATGTTTTTGAAGAGGTCATGTGAAGAGGAAATGAAAGCATGTGGGCAGACTTGGAGCGGGGTGAAAACGTTGGTAGAAAACCGACGGCAATGGAGACGCGCGGCCGAAGCCCTATGTTCCTCTGTGAATTAAAGGAAATTATTATAATGATGAATTACATTCTGCTGTTGCTGAATTCAACGGAGACCATCATATATGTTCACAATCACCCGCTTTGTTTCAAACTTATCATCCATGCAATTATGAAGAGGTTTTTTTATTATAGAGGTATAATTTATGATATTTATATATGATATTCTTGAAAACTGTACCCCTTAATACATCAAACTGTATACTACTGACTGCTTCATATAGAGTAGTATATAGTTTTATGCTGAGTTTCTTGATCGCCACTTATGGTATCAAGCAGATTAGATATTGTGGTCTGATTAATCTCAGTATTTAAAATTGAAAATATGTTGAAATAATCACTCTGAACTGTTTAAATCAAGAATTAGTTTGCTGATTGCGAATATGATTTACTTTATCCCTTAGGGATATTTAAACCAGAGTTCGTGATAACAGTAAGAAGAAGAGTGTTAATTACTGCAGTCTAGTCGATTTGTGGAATACCCTCACACATACAGAAGATTTTTCGAAAAAATATTTGTGCTCACCTAGTGGTATCATAGGTGTACACCACTGAAAAGTTCCAAGATAGGACGAGACGCTTTTTAAGGGTGTTCCTTAGTTCAAGAACGCCTGTAGAACTCGTCTTGACCTTCTGTATGCTTACCACTTAACATAGCGAAGGTCTTAGCTGTTCATGAACTGAAGCTGAGATTTTGTTTAAATAAGAGAATTCCAAACAGGTCCATTTTTGAATCAAAATTATTCATAATGAAAATAATAGGAAAACAACACTTTTTTATTCAGGTATTGGTTTGTAGAGATTTGACTGATTGGTTACAGGATTTCATCATGAGCTGACATTAGTTAGAGAACCATTGGAAAACCTGGGAGTAATGGGCAGCTGTTCCAACATCCTAGTTTGGGACTCTCCAGCAGCATGAACCCACCGGGGCTCGAACCCATAACCTTCTGTTTGCAAGGCGAGCTAGCTCGTTGACTATTAAGCCACTGGGACTCGACCCAATGGCCAGCCCATGAAATCCAACTTCTTCCAATTCATAATTTTTCTATCTCTGTTGGGTCAGTCTGTATATCCTTTGTATATCCTTTCCTGCAACTGTTAATCCACCAAACTCTTCGAGTCTTCTATGCATTTTTGGACTAAAACAATCCGCTCTAGTTATTTCGTCTTACCTTGTTACGTAATAATTCATTTGTCTAGTAACCTTATTCATGTCACACCCCTTTCTAATGTGCAGACATTTTATGTGTAATTTTATGTGTTACATGACCTAAATAGTTTTCTCGCCATGATTATAACTACCTGCCAAATCTACACGAACAATTGATCAAATTTTCTTGCAAAATTCAGTACTTAAAAAGTACTATGAATGTAAAATCTTTGAAAAATTCTCGTCCCTGAATATTTTGCTCTTTATGTCACAATAAAAATTCGCAAATCATTTTCCTTATTTGAAAAAGAATTGATCTTGCCTGACATTTTGACTGCCTATGTACTAATTCCCTGAATGACACATCGAATAAACATGAGGCAACCTCATGACCTGATCATTTTCACAAAAGAGGTCAAAATAATTTTGAAACTTCAAAAATTACTATGATTGCCTTTTATGAGCAGTGAGATGTTAAAGACTACATGTGCTTCTCGCTTACTTTTCTATATGACTGTGAAATGGTAAATATGAGAAAATTTCGGATTTAAAGTCACTAGTTTTGCATGTAGTGTCAGTTATCAAATCTTATGAAATTTTGGGCTTGGTAAAGGTCACAGGACAACAGAATAGAATGACTTAAAATTCTAGATAATATGATACTAAGACATTAAAACTTCTTTTATGCCATCATCTCACTAGTAATATCACATTTTTATCTGCTTTGTACCATTTTATCGTCATTCAGAAATATATTTCAAGCTTTGTAATTCTGATTAATGTTTGGTTACCTTATGTTCTGTTTTCTTAGCCTTTTAATGTCTAACAATGACCAGTCAATGTGATACGTCAAAATATAATGACAGGTTACCAGTTTTAATAAGTCTATACATAAAACAATAACCAAATGAATAATCAACTTGGTATTGTATGAATGGAGTCTGCCTGAATATGGATCATAATGATTTCATAATGATTTGGTAGCGGAATGTTTATTTAGGATTTGAAATCTCTACATAGGGAAATTATGTACACCTTATGTGAAAATCACCATTTTCACAGCTCTTCCGTGTTGTGCTACCTCTGTCCTTCGCATGTGTTTCTTTGTCTTCTTTTCGTGTCTCCCATATGTCTCCGCAACATTGGCTCATTGACTTCAAGTTTATTACTCCACTGTTGGATATTTCGTGCTGACGAGCATCTCTGTATATACTATTGATAAATCTCATCAGTAGCATAAGCTACATACTTACTATTTGTCGAAATGAGTAATTAGACTGCTTTTCTAATCATCTACATTAATGCTATATTGCACCATAAATTGTTACATTACTTTTTCAGTATTTAAATCATGAAATATTCTTCTTAGCAGTTATTTCAACTTACTGCATGATATTTTTCTTTCTCTGTTTTAGTGGAATTCGGAGACCCTGTGTACCATTTACTGAGATGTGCTGCGTCCCCAGGTAAGTATGATAGAAATTAGAAAATGTTTTAAAACGTTTACATGCTGTTTAATTAAATTATTTTGAAGAATCAGCCTTTGAGAAACATAGAAATTACAATCTTGAAACCGTTATATATTCATTTCATATGTGACATACCAGAGAGGAATTGTGTTAAATACGTCCTAGCTCTGCTTAGATTAAGTGTAAACCAGCTAGTTGAAACAACCACTGAAATGATCTTGTAGAAAACCCTAGAACTAACCTCAAGTTTCTGACTAATATCGTGTCATGAACACTTGAGACAGTTTTGTGAACTTGGTGGACAAATGGATTCCAGATGTTCAGCTCTACGTAGTTATGTACAACTGGATCTCCTGGAAAGACTTTCAGAGCATAACGCAGAACTTCCGATGTGTTCCTAAGTAAACTAATTGGTTTAAAAGCTTTTTCAAAAGAATGACTACTGAATAAAGAATATTCTTTTCAACAACCTGCTCTTCATCAGGTTCTACAGTTAAATATATACATAATAGTGAATGAATTAGTGCTATTGACAAAATTAATGTTTAAATGGCGTCGAATCAATAATAACATTAATAGATTACAGTTCGATAGCATCAACATAACAATACACTGAATATCAGAAACGTTAGGAAAATAATAATGCAAATTCATGAACTTATAGTCTCCAGTGAAGGCCAGGGCAGTAGTAGTGGCTGGACTTGCTTCTGCATACACAGCACCGGTTGTTTTAGGTGAATTATGATAGCCTCTGCTTTGTAAAGTATGCGATACCTGCATGCTTTCGGCAATTTTTTAGTACCCAGTAGATGACAGAGAAGGATTCGTCAATGGTGTCTTTGTGACCGGTTTGCACCAGATGGTCTAATGTCGAACTGTTGATGGTTTTTACTACACCTTTATTTAACCACAGTGTTAGATGTTCACGAGCACGAAAAGTATTTATCAAAACTTATCAGCAGCTGAACACTTCATACAGAAGCCAAAATGAAATAAGGCATACCCATCCCGCTTTAAACAATTTATTGTTCTACATTAACTGAAAATCAGGCACATAGAGAAACATTTTAAGGCATTCAACAATTATTTAGTGTTACTGTAAATCTTCTCAACATTACACAGGTTTAACTTTATAAAAGATGAATGGGAAATATTTAAACAGTCGCATTCAGCGTATTTTCAATCCACCCTAGAGTGAGGTGAATGAAACTAAAGACCTCAGAACGGTTTAATTATAAACCACTCACTGAGTAGTAACATTCTTACTGAGAGATTCCTATGTCCACTAGTTTCCCACCCATTATTCCTTAGAAAAGAACGAAAGATGAAAAACCTGATCACCGGGCCTTGTCCTTCAGTAAATTTTCATAAGTTATCCCGTGATTGAAAATATTATCTGATTTCTCCCTTTGTGTTACAAAAATGTGACAAATGTACCTTTGATACATTACACATATATTTAAAACAACGGACTAAAGCAGAAATCATATCTAGTCTAAAGCAGTGCATTATAATTCAAATTTGGATCCCTGCAAACCAACTCTTGAATATCAATCTGATAACCACTAGCGACTGGCGCGATCCAGGGAGGTTCCATTGGGAAGTGATGATGAGTGGGGAATAGGTGGTCGGGTGTGAGGACAAGTACTGGCCGATGACATTCGATAGTGCCAGTCACGCTATATCGTGAATCGGTAGGGTTGGAATTCATGCACTGGATACTGGACGGGGTTCCTGTAGCTCAATGGTCTACGAGCTAGCTAGCCTTGTAACAGAACGGTCCTGGTATCGAACACTGTCAGTGATTGCTTACTGCTAAAAGTCTGAAGCTGGGCTGAGAAGACAGCTGTCCAGTACTCTCAGGTTTTCCAATAGTTCTCTAACCATTGTCAGCTCCTGACGAAATCCTGTAGCCAATGAAATCCCTGCGAACCAACACTTGAATATCAAACAGCTCACTTTGGTAGTCGTAATTCACCTGCCATTTATGACCTCACAAATGAGCACTGTCGTCGATAGGTAGGCACAGCGCTGTGAAATAGGTTTTACTTTACATACTACGAAAAAGTATACTATGTTATTTCAATTTATCTTTTTTTGATATCCATTTCCGTTTAGGTCATCAACCCTCCACCTGTAAATGTATCTGCCATTTAGAAATTGGTGAAGAATGTCCTAAAGTAATCAGTGAAATGACTAAACCAATCAAAGTTATATGCGCACCAGCAGCTCGTAGAAAATCCCAACACCTGACATCGTCAAAATACTCTTCGTCAAATACACAAGCTACACAACAATTCAACTTTCCTAATGTTAACGAACAAAATACACAATCAAAAGTAAAATCTTCAGTAGTTGTAGCACTTGAGAAAAATAGAACTACTTCAAGTAACAGTCAGTTATTTCATCAAACACAAAGATGATAATTATTTTTTTGTGTGTGTATGTGTTAAATCAATAACTTTTCACATGATTTTATTCAACGATTTGTGCACATAACTATTACTATTCTCAAGTCTTTTCAACCTGCAGAGGCTCTAACACACTCAAAATGCAACAGAACACAAGCTAAGTATAAGCAGTATAGACGGAGAGTACTCAGCTCCATTTTATTACAATGAGTTATTTTTTACCAATTATTATTTTCGACGTGCTGCCAAGAACAGAGTTTTATCATATACCAGAAAAACAACAACTGGCGGTGGGATAGGGGAATGAGATGTCGACAGATGAAGTACCTTCCATACGAATTTCCTCCCTTTTCCCTTTTTTGTTTTATAGAAACTGCACAGTTTTTACAGTGAAAATAAGCTGCTTGATAACAAAATAGATCACAGATGATTATTCTACAAGCTAGTTTTACAAATTTTATTCAATCATGAAACGTTTTTTGTACAAATTAGATGGAAACTATTTCACTGACTTACATTTCAAAGCTGAGGCATTGTACTTTGCCAATGATCAAAACATTCCTTAAACCTAATACACATTTTACATATATATATACTACTTTTTACTGAATTCAGCTCATAAAACTTGTCCATCCATTTATCCATGTACACTAGAATAACATTATATTTACATATGAATTTATTTTATTTTTTTAATTTCAATTTAACATTTATCCAGAATGAGTGTAAGTAATAATGATAAGTAGAAAGTGAGACAGTTGGTCAGGAGAGAAGTGAGCATTGATTTCACTTTTTTTAGACCTTATCACTTTCTTCCAGTATGTGTGTGTTGTAGCTCTAGAAACACTGACAGATAACAAATGTATTGATTCTTCTTCTTTCACACTTTTTCTTTGATTTGTTCCTTCAGTTAGCTTTAGACAGAGAGGCTGAAGTTGTAACTTTCACAGGAGTAGAACCACAAGACTATATATAATATCACTGAAGTGACATAAATGTTTACACTTTTTGTTTATTTTCCGTCTTCTTCCTTGTTCTTATCCTTTTTATGATTGATTCTATTAATCTCCAAAACTGTGATTCTTTTTTTGTTAGTCAATTCATAGATGTGTATACTGGTGATAAAAAATGAAATTTAAGTCATGAATGATGAACCAATACACTATCACGCATACACGTGTCAAACATGCATCTATACAAACACCGAAGCACACATATGTTACATGGTTGTTACATGTACCAAATACTGCAACAACAAAATAATAAATAAATTACTGAAATTTAAAGAAAAATTATAGTAGTTTGTTTTAAAATTTCTCGATTTTTTCTTTTCTTCATACATATAGTCCCTAAAGGCTTTTTCCAATATGTATGTCCATATATATAAGCTCAGAGGAAAAAGCTCGGGGAGCAAATATGTAGGTTTCGTGCCTTTCGGTTCTCACTAATAGGTCTTATCTACGTAGTCAACGGTCGCTGTCTTAAGAAATGCTTCGTTTTACAAATATGCATAGCAAGCAAGTACTGGGAAGGTACAGAAACTTTAGGTTTGGCCGTTGACCTACGTTTTCGTTCAAATAAAGTTTTCTGGCAGTTTTCTCAAATCATTGTGATACTTAATTTCCCGCATAGCATAATGAGCCAAATTTACCCAATTGTAGTTTATTTTAACTATCCATTGAAGAAAAATCTGCACTCATGTGTATTTTTGAATGGTGGCCTGCTTAAAACTTGGGCTACCAAAAGCTTCCATCTTTCTATTGAATATATTTTCTCTCTTTCGGTTTGTTTTAATCGTTTAGGATATAACCTTTAATGGTGTTATCTACTCTTGTGTGTATTTAAAATGTTTACAAGCTCCTGATTCGCAAGTTCCTACTAAATTTGAGGAAAGGTCTGATTGTAGGTGGTAACGTGTTCCAATACATGAGGTAACTGTTCTTCACTTGTGTCCTTCATTCCTAGGATGTGCTTCTGAACATCATACGATTGGCAGATATATCATAGTGGAATGGATTGTGCTTCAACTCAGAGACCATTGTGTCAGTTAATAATTTACTCGAAGATATTGTACAAAGGGAAAATATTATGCAATTAGCTCCTCTGTAAATTCTGTACATTTTATAAATACTTTCTAGAATCAAGATGTTATTGTTATTATACGTTTTTAAAAGGAAAATACTTTGGGGGTTGCGCATGTTTCAGATCGAATGAAATTCTGTCTAATCAAATACTGTAGACTACTGTTTTCCTTGAGTATTCCCTATAAGAAGTAGATAAAAAAATCTCCGAATACCCTACACTGTATGCAAACATGTTCAGAATAAAGCTATTATTATAACTGTTATTATTTGATTTGCAAAACAATTAAATCAACTTATACTGACATCCAGGCTTTAATCTGATATGATGTCTTACTATATTTCTGGAGTTGTAGTGATTAAATGATTACGCGTTTTTTAAAAATACCAACGTCTACAATATTCCACAAGAGGCGAAAACTTGAAATTTCCCTCAAGACATGCAGATAACAGATCTTAATAGACTTTAGTCCAGGATTATGTTTTATATTTTGTAATATTATACATTTCCACAAATGAATAGTACCCCATCAGAAGCTGTCACATGACATATCTTCTACAATTCGCCTCAGACAATGCCACAAAAGTGATGTCAAGAACCTTATTGTTGACAGCAATGTTCTCTTTTCAAATAAAGTTGGCTTTTTAAACAACAATAATAATCCACGTTATTCCAAAAACAGTACATATAATACAGAATACAATTCTTAGCATCTGTCACAATACTGCATTTGATTTACTCAAAATATAAATGAAATTAAAACAAAATTAACTAGAGGACTTTGTCCACATTTACGGTATAAACTCAAAAATATTCTAAGTAAGAATTGAGAATATTAAATATAATAATAACAGTGAGTTTGTTCCAAACAGTATTGTCGATTAAGTTTGAGCATGTTATAGAGTATTGAATTTAATCTTCTGTTGATATAGTAAGGTGAAGGGAAATACAAAATTGGCAGTTATAACACAGCTTAAATAATGTTCACATTTATGAAAAAATAAACAAATAAAAACAAAAAATTGAGAGGATTATAAATATAAGAAGTACAATAACAATAAAGGTTGATATTGTAAGGGTGAAAGAAATGGTTTTTTAAATAATGCAAAGAAGGTTAGCATGTTCATGCTTAACACTATTTTCATTATATAAAGTACGTGCCAAATATGGTATAGAGGAATTTTTATGCAAGGAACCTACGTGCATAAAGTCTGCTGAAAAGACTTCTTGTTTTACCTGAGGAGATACAGGGTTGGAGCTGCGGGGTAAAGTGGATGCTCGCAGTCTGATGAATGCTTACTGATCAGACTACTTTCATATATTACCACTGTTGGCACTATTCTAGCTTACTTTACTGTCTATTTCTTGAGCTGAGAAATCCAATAAATCCATATATACGCTTCAGTGAAACATCAGTTTAATGCCTATCACCAGCTGAATCCGATTTAAAATTTTCACAGTTGAAATGTGTCGTTTGTTTGTGCACAACCCTAAACAAACACTTTTACAGAAGTATAAGGGTGATTAAAAGTCATAAGAAATCAGCTAAGTCATATGACATGACTGATGGAATGACTGAACAAAGGAGAGGTATGAACAAAGGTACACTACAGCAGAGTACCACACTTTGAACAACACGCATAAAGTACAGGAGAGATATGTGATGGGACTTCATTAGATAATGATTTACAAGACAGAGTAATTAGGTGAAGAGTAAAGAAGATATCTAGAATCTTGAAGATTGCAAGTAGTGAATGAATCTGTTTCATTGTAACTCATCTAAAGTTATATCATAAAAACTCTCAAATTACGGATTCTACAGCCCTTGTGGACCCCAGTTAGATAATTTACACCTCCCTTAAAGTATCTTCATCTAATTATGCTTGTTTTCTTGATTACCATTTATGCTATCAATCGGATCATACTGATCTGATCTCATACATTTCTGGTTCTAAATGAATCTTTGATGAAATTTCACCTCAATCCGAGTAAATTTCAAATTATGAGGTTGATTTATGATCCTGAAAATATATTTTTTGAAATTTTTACATTGTCTTTAGTACTGATCATGAAACATCCGCAAACAAAAACCGATATAAATAAGTCTGTACATTTTCTGTGACATTCTCTCAAACAAAACTGTTATTCTCCTGAAAATCAATAGAATCATTTGTTAAACTAAAGTTTTAAATGTTAGTGAAGTTTGAAGCTATTATGTACATGAAATTATGTGTTTATATAAGTTCATAAATTTCCTACTTGGAGGAAATGTATTTTTAGTAGATTTACAATAACATTTTATTAAAATGGGTAGAAATGTAAAAAAGTCAATAAATTGAAATTTTTCGTTTTACTTACACAAGACAAAAAGCAGACCACTTTACGTAAATTCACTTCAAAGCTGCACACTTATTTAGGAGTTTGACACTCACAATGTTAATTAACAACAAATGTCAGAGATTATTGTCACTTAGGAACAAAATAAGTTAAAGTGTCTGATAAATAAAATTGTATGGAAGAAACAGCGGATAATCTTAATTAATCGAGAGATTTTCAAATGTTGGTTTGTAGGAATTCGAGTGGTTTAAGGATGTCATCATGAGCTGACAATGGTTAGAGAACCATTGGAAAACCTGGGAGTACTGGACAGCTGTTTCATCAGGCTAGTCTCAGCAGCACGTGCTCACCGACAGTGTTCGACACCAGGACCTTCCTGTTACAAGGCTAACTAGCTCGTAGACAACTGAGCAACAGGAACCCCGTCTTGTATCCAGTGCATGAATTCCAACTTCAACCAATTCACGACTAGCATTATCGAATGTCATCGTCGAATCAGAATTCCTGACCAGTGGGTTACGAAAATTCGAGTTTGAGGACAAATACTTGTCGAAGACATTCGTCAGTCGTCGCACTATATCATGAATTGGCAGATGGTGGAATTAAAGAACTTACCGTGTAACCAGAAGGTCCTGGCTTCGGACATTTTTAGTGAGCGCGTACTGCTGAAGAGTCCGAAACTATGATAAAGAAGCAACTATCCAGTACTCCCAGGTTTTCCAGTTGCTCTCCAACCGATGTCACTTCATGAATTAATCATGTAAGTAATCGAAAGAGTTGACAACTAATTAGTTAAGCGATGAATATTAGTTGGAAATAACTGACAAGGAACAGTAGTACAAAGGACTGAAAATGAGTTACAAGAATAAAAATAAATACACAAAGCTTAGCATTAGATAATTGAGGAAAATAAAACACACTAAGGCCATGATATTAAAAGAGGTCGGATAAGACGTTTCTGAACAAAAACGTCCTGCCTTTTTCTTACGGATTCCTAGAGATTTTCATTTAATTTTTTATTTTACTCATTTTGCTTTTCTATTTCTTGTAGTTCATTTCCAATCCTTTGTGCTTTTGTTTCCTTTCGATCATTGCCAGTTGACTATTCATCATAGATCTAATTGGTTGTCAGCTGTCTCGACTGCATAAGACTATTCACCATTTTTTACACGCCGTTATTTCTCATATATTCTGACTTATTTTGTTACAAACTAACAATAACCTCTGACCTTTGTTCTAAGTTAACATCACATATGCAAACTCCTAAATAACTATTAGGCTGTGAAGTGAAATTACGAAGAGTGATCTTTCTCCTGACTCATGTACTGTTATTATTATTGTTTCCTAGTGGTTATTGTCTAGCGGTTAGGATTCCTGGCTCTCACCCAGGCGGCCCAAGTTCGACTCCCGGCGCGGGAGCGCTTTAACGCTGAAAATTCCATGCTGTAAATTTTTATTGTTGTGGAATAAAGTGATTATTATTATTATTCCTTTAGTTCCTGGGGGAACATAAAGACTCACCCCCACGTCTCCATTGCGTTTGCTTCTCCACCAACTTTTTCACCTGGCTCCACGTCTGCCCATATCCTTTCATCCCCTCTTCGCACGACCTTTGCACTGACGACCAACTTGCCACTTCCCTTTAAGGCTCCACTCGAGAGACAGCCTGGCGTGTGATGTCACTTGATGGTTTACTTTCTCAGAGTATGGCCAATCCAACTCCATTTCTTCCTGCACACATTTCTGTTACACACTTGGTTTCTACTGCGTTGGTTCGCTCCCAGAAATCTCTGTTGTTGATCTTTTCTGTAGTTTGTTTGAAGTGCTCCAAATGACACGCCAAGTCTCTGATCCGTATAGCGAGTAGCACTGACTTCACACTAGAGTTGAAAATCCGGATCTTATTTTTCATGCTGAGGAGTACTGTTGATCTCCACACAGACTAGAGAATAATAAAAGCTTTCCTTGCTT